TTTTTCCCAAGCAATGTTGCTCGTTTCAGATAACGCTTGTAATTTTTACTGCCTGATTTTTAACAGGTATTGCAGATTTGTAATAAACAATCCAATGAAGAATATGAAATAACTATTTCCCAATCGACTATAGCAGCAGTGATAGCATACCTGTGTAATGGGGCAAATAAAGTTCATCTGACTCTGAGTCACGGCTATGTCTTCATCGATTTGTTCAATGGCCTCATTACCATTATCTGATTGATGACAAACTATAATGGGAAAGAACACAATTTTCATTTCATATTTAATAGAGATAGCCAATACTTAAAATAAGCAAATAAAATCCAGCATTTGCCAAGCATTATCTCACAGTGATATCTAAGATGCCACAACATATTTCTGTACCACTCCCTGAACAAGATACTGCAAAAAATACTGTACTATAGTCTCTGTTAGAAAATGTGGATTTTTAAATGGTAAGCACTTTGTGTGTGTGTCTGTGTGTCTGTGTGTGTGTATGTGCCTATCTATAGCCAATGCTAGAAAGGAGGGCTGGGAAGGAAACCAAGCTGGCCTGAACACATGCAAAGCCTTCAGTATTCTCTGTTCAAGCTCACCAAAAACCAGTAACATGCAGGTGAGTCCCCAAAATCTAACAAAGGATGAGGTGGAGCTTTTGCTGATTTGGCAGTCCCACCCTCAAGATCAGTTTGTGTTTGAATGTCATAAATGGGCTTGCTATATAGCCTGTATACACCGTATATACTTTAAAAGGAATTTATACTATTTATCATAATGCATCATTTGTCAAGTGATGCCGCTGTATTTTAACAAGACTATAATTAGTGAAAAACAAAAGCCAAGAAAATGTTATTTGAGATGGACAATAGAAATGTTACTGAAGTAATCTTAAGGAGGAGGGACAGAATGAAATACTGAAACTTCCCAGAAAACACCTGATGGCCCAATGCCAGGGAATGAGGGGCAGACAAACAAGAAGAAATCCGCCTTGAGCAAGAGAAGATGCAGGTCCCCACTTTTACCAGAAGAAGGCAAGGTGTAAGCAACTCTGCATACCCAGGGGTGCGCCAGCCCAGGGTTCCGTGCAGAAACTAATTAGCCAGGCTCAAAAGCTGAGACACAGCAGCAGCTAAGGAGGATATATATTACTAAGTATAGTCTTAAGAAATGTATGCATGTTGTTTTATCTTTTCCTAACTTTGCTCTGTTACTGTGAATCTAGGCTTTTCGTTGAACGCATTTGTTTATCTTTAAATCTTATCTGGTAATAATTGCAAACTTAACACCTGCCGTAACTTTCCATTCCTTTGGGGTAGTTCTGCAACGTTTTTGCATCAGTGCCCTGGGGTGTAGTCCTCAAGGTGTCCCAAGCTGAAGAGAGCATTTTTCTCTCTAGCTGCACAAGCTAGTTTGCAATGTAGCAACACAGGGTTTGGAGAAGATGAAACCCTCCAGTGGCCTGCGTTGGCTTTGACTGCCAAGGGGGCAGTGAGAAACACAAGTGAACATGGAGGGTTTAGAGTTACTTCATGATTTGCTTTCTACAAAGTCTCAGCCTTGGTTCCCTTTGCTGCTATTGCACACTATCAGCCGATCTTTGCATCCCTGGTATTCAGTCTTCCACATCTGTTAAGGACCAGTGTTTCCTAACTTACGGTCAGTCCTGCATGCCTGTATAATACCATCATCTTCCGGATGATAACAGCAGACATCACTCTTGGAGCAATCACAATCTCTCACACCCAGTCTAGACTGAGCACACTGCCATGTGAGCCAGCACATCTCTGGTTGAGGGACTGTTGGCATTGGTATTGCAGCCATCGCTCCACCACAGCACCTCTCGGTATGCTGGTTTTATCTGCATGTTTTTCCTTCCTCCTTAACACAGCTTGCCCTTCTCTCCATTCCAATATACCAAGAGTTTTCCAAGCATTCAGGAGTTCTCCTGACCCAGGTACTCCTGCAAATACTTGGCCAATACTCAGGCAAGCATCAAGGGTATTTCTGTTTCTGTAACTAAGCCCTCATTCAATCAATAGGGTGCGGATGCAGGGGGAAAAGCTGCTCAGGTGTCCAAAGTCAATAATAATTTTAAGGCTTTGATCTCCAAGAATATTAACATACCTTTACCAGACACTGACCCCCTAACAAAAGTAAATACTTGCGAATCAGAAGGAAAAAGTGGGCACAATTGGACTGTAAATACTGAAACTGCAGTGGTATAGACATCAGAAAAAGACTTGCATCGGTTACCAGTTTTCAGAAAAGAAAACCTGTCACATATTATTCTTAGATTGCTCTTATATAAGGTTTATTCTAGCATATACACATAGTATTCTGAAGAAAATACAACTTTGGGGGGAAAAAAGTTGGTTTTTTTCTAATGAAGCTTTTGAAATACAAAGCAATGGGTGAAATCCCACTGAGACAGCAAGGCTAAACAACATTGCGAATATTGGTAGGTGCCAGCTTTAGCATGGGCTGCTTTATTTAAATACCATACTGATTTTTTTCCTATGAGTAATGCCAACAAAGAACAAGAGATTCAGAATTTCCTTAAATTCCTGTATCTGCAAATTTTGACACACTACAGCTCTAATCTTTATTCTGGAAACTCATATTTTTCTATGTTGTATTTTGTTTCAACTCATGAACTTGGCACATAGTTCCAGTGTACCAGTGCATCGTGTCAGTCAGTAAAGTCAGAAGGCAGCAGTACCAGCAAGATCTAGGACAGATGATCATTTACAAAGGATATTCTTTTTTTTATCAATATGTAGATGCCAAAGAAGGTGGGTAAAGTTTTAAGATGTGGGGCTTGTGCCTGTGATTTTACTTTTAAAGCTCAGCACTCCAAGTTAGGCACATAAGTGGCCTCTTCTGGAAAAGCGTTCACCTTGCGTAGCACCTTCTGACCTTGCTGAAGAGTCACCACTTCACTCATCACTTCTGTGCGTGCTTACTTAGGTATCGACACAAGAATTTAGGAGACTATGTTGAAGCATCCAAGTTTGAAAATAAGAGCTCAAGCTTGGGTACTGGTGCTTGAGTCTCCCCTGAAGGCCTCAGGCCTCTAAATGATGTCAGCTAAATCACAGGCTGGGTTTACCTCTTTCTCATACTGGCTTTGGAGGTGAGTTAGATGCCTCATGTTTAATGGTTGACATTCCATGAGTTGAGACCCACTCCTTGCAGGTGGGATGTATTAATTAATCTTCCTGGATTCAAATCGTCCTCTTGCTGCAAGCTTATCTTAAACACTTCAGGTTGCACTTCATTTGCAATGATTTTGTATACAGTCTACCAGAGTGGGGCCCTGGTTTCAAGAGGTTATCACAGCACAAATGAATAATTATTTAAAATATTTCCTTTTCATAAGCAGCTAATACTTTTAATAATAAATATGCAAGACTGGGATGATGCAAGTGATACCTCAAACATATCAATAGCAAATTAGCATAAATCAGATAAACCACCCACAGATTTGTTGCTATTGCTTGATGTTCTAGATTACAGGAGGAGAGAGGAAAATAACTTTTTTCAATTACAGTAAATTTTCCAGAGATTATGCAAGACACACATACATCCCAAACTGGTCAGTAAGATGCTCTAAACCGTAGGCCCATACCTGTAAACTCATATTGGAAGATGTTTTTATTAAAGTCAAAGGGATTTTTTACCAAACAAAATGTATAAAAGTTTGGAAGAGCTAACTTGCAAGTCTGACTATTCTATAGAAAGAAGAAATAAAAACACTGGGTTATACATAGTTCAGCTAAGTCAGGTTACATTTCTGTAAAATTGAGTTTTCCTTGCAAATGAAAACCTGATGCAGAAAACACTAAGTTATTGTTCCTGAAATTCAGGTGTTGCCTTAAGTAAAGTAATACATACATCTATTTTGGTAGTCTGAGAGATTACATTTTAAGAGCCTTAAGAGTGTCTAGTTTTCCATTCTGGCCAATTGAAACCTGTTAGGAGTATTAGTAACACATTTTCTATCTGGCTATCTCAGCAATGATGTTTATAGCTAATTAGTGCCCACTGTTGCAATAAAACTGCATTCTCATAAAGGTATCTATTTTTGGTAACACATCATAATGAATTTTGCAACTGCCAACTGTTTTTTACTTATTCAATTTTAATTAAAAGCTGGTAGTACTTTATATCTCTATCACTTTCATCTCTTGATAAAAATGTGACTAATATGCCTTAGCTCAGTTTTTACCTATTCTGCTGAGAGAGACTGAGAACTTTTAAGCCAACTTTGAAAAATAAGAAAACCACAGTGCAGAGACATTAACTGCTATATTTTGAATTATATTAAGCATGGACAGTATACATATTAAAAAAGCATTAGAGGAAAGTGACAAAGATCCTCTCTGTTGTCATTGTCACTTCTGTGACAGACAGACTGCTGTCTGCTCACTGTTTCCAGTGCCAACAACATCCTTTACCCAATTCTGGTTTCTCTAACCCGGCCCTGAGTAAGTACATGTTGCAATGTAAACTCAATTGATTTCTTGCCTTTTGTGCTGCGCTGTTCTGCCTTCTCACCTGCCATCAGTCAGACACTAATCGTGGAAATCACAGGGTAATGTTAAGCATGCAGGATTGAGTCTTTGTAAGCCTGAGCCACTAGACAGACAAGGTCTTGGCTCCCAGGAGGGTCTATTGTACTGCTGACTCTATAGAAATAACAGAAACTCATCCAGGCTGGGAAAAATCCTATCTCTGAGAGCTCCAAGAAAAACATGAATGTTATGAGGGCAAGTCAAATGCCAAGTGTTCCTGCCAGCAGGACACAGAAAATAACAAAAGGTGGGGGAGGTGAAGGACATCATCACATCCAAGAGTTCTACGCTAAGAGTCAGAAGGAGTCTGGGGCACTGCTAGCATGGGGTGAGGAAGGTCCAAGGACAAGTCTAAAGGAGGGAATGAGCCCAAACACTGCTTTCCATGAAATACACTGCTGAGACCACCATGGGCAATGCTTAAGAGCGGGTCAGCATGCCCATTAGTGCTCTGAATTTGGGTTAGACTTCAGATCCAGAGAAGCAGACCAGAACAACTGTCCAATGTGCCGCCCCCAGGACGGATCTGCAGTAAATGCTGTAGGAGTGAAAGAAGAGGGGAAGCAGAGTAATAAACCTTCCCAGCAAACTTTCCCAGTCTCTAGCAATTTGTGGCCAAGGACTTCCTGAGTCAGAGGTAATATCTTTGCACTTAATAAGCCCTGGAGTTTTCC